TTATGTCTAATTATGTCTTACCAAATCTTGAACAGTTCTTTAGAGTCTTTTTATCAAGCTGTGTAAAACTATAGACGAGATTGTTGTTAGGTTCAACTTATCAATTGTTCGGTTTTCAAGTTCAAATTATTAACGGTTAAATTATGTTTAGTTCATATTTGTAATCATATAGGTTTAGCCTATTTTTGTTCTTAACATATATATTCTCTGTCATCTCATTTATGCAATGTAATCATTTTGGGTGTAACAGGGCCTCCAAAAAGATTGGAACATCCTTGTGTCCTATCATGTCATGTCTTGTGTTCTGTCTCGATATCAAATGCACTCATACAATGAAAAAAGAGTATTATGTGTGTTAATATATATACACACACAAAAAGCAACACTTCCCTTACTGACAACCTGGTCCGACTTCGCTCCTTCATCGACAACCACCTTGCATCACACCTTGCCTCTCTCACCATGACATCCATACTTTGTGTCATACCCTTTAGACATTTAACTAGTCACTTGTCTAAAATGTGTAGCATAGAAGCAAGTGTTATAAGTTTATGTAAATTTGAGATCACAAAAACAAGCGAGTAGTGTGTGTGAAAAGCGCAAATAGTGCGAGACAACAACAAACCACAACCACAAGGGATTGTCCTATGTCCTGGGGCTGTACCAGCAGCAAAAAAAACATCCATAAGGAGTTGCACATGGTGCATAGGGGCGGCACCCGCATAAGGACATCAACCAAAAAGGCCATGCGAGTGACCATGGTTGTATCGGCAACAGTCCTATGATGCTATGGTGTTTCATTTGGCATTTTCTCAAGTCAATTGACATCGATTAGGAGAGTTTGAGTTCAAGGTAGCCTATAATCATGATTCTATAGCACATAAAGTAGTGTCGGACATAAAACGGATTTGATGGTTTAGACACAAAGTATTCAATTGAATATTTGGGACATAATTTTTTTTTTAATGTTTGGGACATACGTGTAGTGTGTGTATGATCATTGTTTTAACTCATATTGCTTTGTTGAGTTCAATTTATTATGTTTTGTAAGTTAGTTTGCATTAACTTTCACATTATTTTCCTTCCAATTTTTGAGCAGGCATCGAAAGAATCAAATATTAGTGCATGGAAGACGATCGTATAGAATTTGACGACACCTTTAACTTCGTTCGGAAGATGTAACGATTTGAACAACTTTGAATTTTTTTTGTCTAGCATGTTTGTTATATTTATATATTTGTTTTTGTTGATTCATTTGTGCCGTAGTTGACCTTTTTTTGTTTCATTGGTTGGCGTTTTGTGCCATTATACTGGTTTTGGAAATGTTAATTTTATAGCAGTCATGTTGCCGAAATTTTAAAAAGATACTGGGTACTTTGTATGTCGTGCATTGTTTATGATACGAAATATCAAAAGCATTTGTCTTTTTATAGTTAAAAACAAATTTCATTTTTTATATGAAAGGAATCTTAGGTGGCGTTTGGTTCACAGATTCTGGAGGAATCTGAAGGAATTGGAATGTTGAATTCCTTTGACCAGATTCATTTCCTTCGTTTGGTTCATTCTTTTCAACGGAAGGAATCTTCATATTCCTATGAATTCCATGGATAAAGGATTTTAACATTCCTTGACAAATAGTTGGGNTTATGATATATTTTGTTATATAAAATATTTATTTGTTTATAATTTAACTAAATTATATAATTAATCAAAACATATAAAATATATAAACAACTCGTTAGGAGTAAATTAGATATTTTATATGTTCAATTATGTCTAATTATGTCTTATCAAATCTTGAACAGTTCTTTAGAGTCTTTTTATCAAGCTGTGTAAAACTATAGACGAAATTGTTGTTAGGTTCAAATTATCAATTGTTCGGTTTTCAAGTTCAAATTATTAACGGTTAAATTATGTTTAGTTCATATTTGTAATCATATAGGTTTAGCCCATTTTTGTTTTTAACATATATATTATCTGTCATCTCATTTATGCAATGTAATCATTTTGCGTGTAACAGGGCCTCCAAAAAGATTGGAACATCCTTGTGTCCTATCATGTCATGTCTTGTGTTCTGTCTCGATATCAAATGCACCCATACAATGAAAAAAGAGTATTATGTGTGTTAATATATATACACACACAAAGAGCAATACTTCCCTTACTGACAACCTGGTCCGCCTTCGCCTCCTTCATCGACAACCACCTTGCATCACACCTTGCCTCTCTCACCATGACATCCATACTTTGTGTCATACCCTTTAGACATTTAACTAGTCACTTGTCTAAAAYGTGTAGCATAGAAGCAAGTGTTWTAAGTKTATGTAAATTTGAGATCACAAAAACAAGCGAGTAGTGTGTGTGAAAAGCGCAARTAGTGCGAGACAACAACAAACCACAACCACAAGGGATTGTCCTATGTCCTGGGGCTGTACCAGCAGCAAAAAAAACATCCATAAGGAGTTGCACATGGTGCATAGGGGCGGCGCCCACATAAGGACATCAACCAAAAAGGCCATGCGAGTGACCATGGTTGCATCGGCAACAGTCCTATGATGCTATGGTGTTTCATTTGGCATTTTCTCAAGTCAATTGACATCGATTAGGAGAGATTGAGTTCAAGGTAGCCTATAATCATGATTCTATAGCACATAAAGTAGTTTCGGACATAAAATGGATTTGATGTTTTAGACACAAAGTATTCAATTGAATATTTGGGACATAAAAAAATTTAATGTTTGGGACATACGTGTAGTGTGTGTATGATCATTGTTTTAACTCATATTGCTTTGTTGAGTTCAATTTATTATGTTTTGCAAGTTAGTTTGCATTAACTTTCACATTATTTTCCTTCCAATTTTTGAGCAGGCATCGAAAGAATCAAATATTAGTGCATGGAAGACGATCGTATAGAATTTGACGGCACCTTTAACTTCGTTCGGAAGATGTAAAGATTTGAACAACTTTGAATTTTTTTTTTGTCTAGCATGTTTGTTATATTTATATATTTATTTTTGTTGATTCATTTGTGCCGTAGTTGACCTTTTTTTGTTTCATTGGTTGGCGTTTTGTGCCATTATACTGGTTTTGGAAATGTTAATTTTATAGCAGTTATGCTGCCGAAATTTTAAAAAGATACTGGTACTTTGTATGTCGTGCATTGTTTATGATATGAAATATCAAAAGCATTTGTCTTTTTATAGTTAAAAACAAATTTCATTTTTTATATTAAAGGAATCTTAGTAGAAATAAACCTAAAAGCTCTAAATGTGTTATTTACTCCATAAACATACATAAATTTTGTTTCTTCCGTGTAAATTTGGATTGTTTCTCGGATTCAAAAAAAATTAGGTGTCTTAATACATATGTTTAAAATGGTATCTTTGTAATCATTAATCTTTAGCAAATAATTGTTCGACTATTCTTTTTATTGAATTACATAAAATAAATATTGTTATCTTACTGAAGCTGGGAAAAAGACCCGTGGACGAATACACAAACCAACCTGGAATAGTCTTAGATCGACCTTCTTTTATTCAACAGGTAAATACAGTTGTCCATGTTCAGATCGGATTATCTGAGCCGGACTAGTCTAAGGGCGAGATTTATTCGGATTGGGCGAAAACGAGGCTTGGCTTTTTGGCAAGCTCGACCAGACCAAACCGGAATTAGTCTGAGCTCTTTTTGTTTTGATTTTTTTATCAACCAAAAATATGTTTTAAACATTAACGTTAGGTACCAAAAAAATTAAAAATTGAAAGATTGGTTTATTTAGAAACAAATGCATCCAAAATGACATGTCAACCCGAAGCTTGAACCAACCGGGTTWTTTGGATCAGTTTGTGCCCATCATTACTACATATGATATATGATGACGTAAATTTCTGAAGATTGTGACTGTATCATGATATATGACATAAAATCCTCAACCGTGACCGTATCTTGATAAACAATGACATAAATTTCTCAAAACCGTTGCTTTATGTTTCTAGGTGTTTGTTAACAGTAATCCTTATTTTATAAAAACTGTTACTAAAACATTTCTTTAACTTTTTTTTTTCACTTTTTGCAACGGTTTTCTATCAGACCATGACAAACCTATTTTTTCAAAACTGTCACAAAAGCCATTTTTGTACTAGTGATAGACCATCATATAGCCTTTTTTAGAGAGAAATTGAATAGATCATCATATAGTCGTTTCTTCCTATGTGTTGATGTTTCATATTCATATAGCAGAGATTCACAAACAAGTATTGCACTATTTACCGGTGAGTGGTAATTGAGGTGCTCAAATTTCGATTATAACCGGCCAGTAACCGGTTACAACCGGTTTGGCTAGCAACGGGTAGCATATGGATAAGATAAGGATTATTCCGTTACCATGTCTATTTAAAATAGAGGATAAAGAAACGTTTAAGGGTTAATCAAACACTAAAATCTTAATTTGAATTTAAAATAAAAYTRTAAACATTAAACTTRTAAAATTAAACTTGTAAATAAAATATAAATTCATAAACATAATAATTATTGTGCATATAATATGTTCCAATATATGTCGAACAACAATTTTGGGGGCTGTCATCATCAAGAGTCAATTAAGTGACAGCGAGCACGATTTAATTGCTTCTTGTTTTATAAACATGATCATATATATATCTTGGTTAAGGAATTGAAACCTCTTGGAACCTAATTCCGAGAGCCATGTTTTTCATGATTTTTGTATTGTTTTTCTATTCTATATAAACATCTTCCTTCCCTTTCCTATTTTCTGCATAACCATTTCACCTTATTATTTTCCCAATGGCCACCGAGCAAGGAGCTCCAACCCTTCCATGGTCACGGTTGCCCCACATCTTTCACCCACTGCCATCACCAACCCTACAGCCTCATCAAGCCCCACCACCACCACCACCACCACCACCACCACCAAGTCAAGTGCTTTTTACACCAAGATTTCGAGCCGCAACAACCAGACCTCCACCTCAACCCACAGCAACCCCACCTCTTCTTAAAGGAACTACAGTTGTTGGACCATCTTCACCGCCACCTGCACCACAGCAGTTAGTAGCTAGAGCTACGGCAGCACCAACCTCATCACCTATAGTTCCAAAGGACACACAATTTGGAGCAGCAGCCACGTCCCCAGTCGTCACTCGTGCTGCCACCCCGACTTCCTCCCCTCTCAAATCTATCAAACGTTCACCGAAAAACACTTCATCTGTATTAACTTGTTGTCTTATGTAGGTATAATTGTGAGGGAGTGAATTAATAATGTCAATGTTGTATTTACAACATTATGGATGAAGATGCTTTGTAGCATAGCAATTACTAGCAATAAAGTTTAGTTACATCCACAACACTATATATATATATATATATATATATATATATACTTTTGATGTGAGCAGATTAATTTGCATGTTGAATGATAATAGTCAATGTATGTTTTCAAATGTTTGAATTCTGATATACAACATCTTTTTTCCTTCCTACAATTATTAAACATATACACATACACAGGATGAGCAATAAAATGTAATGTAGGGTTCTAAAGTAAAAATGAATACTCATATATACCACACCACAGATACCCTGAGTTGGACTATAAGATCTACCAGTCATACTCGAACTTCCTCCTGTTGAATCAATCAGCACATAGTCAACATCTCGATGTGCATCAAAGCCGTAGATCTTCCATTTTTTTTCCAATCAGTTATGCCCATAACTCGGCATCAACAAGCGGACGTGCAACCACCCCATACACATCGATCATTGCCCCCACTAAAGGGCATCATAGAATTCGTATATAACCAAAAATTAGAAAATCCACACGTTAAAAAAAATATTGCAACAAGATGACTGTAAATTGAACATGTTCCAATTAGATAATCCAACAAGTTTTGAATTCAAACTATATATATATAGAGAGAGAGAGGGAGGTTATTTTACAACCTTTCCCATTCCTACACCCAATACAACCATCATCTCATCCCTTCAATTCTTAATGTATGGTCAAGATGCATTGGATGACAAAATTGTAATAAAAGGGAAAACTATATGCACGCCCCTGATAGATTAAGGGTAACCAAGAGTAAGATTGGAATTGGAAAACTTAATCTATTCTAAGATGGGATTCTATGAAATCATGAATGCGATAATCACTCTGTTGTAGAAGACAAATAGTGATATTCATTGAAAATAATTTCATTAACACACTTTATAAGCTTTGACATACGGACAACACGCTAGATGAACTTAGTTTCATGTATCTATCATAACCTTTAAAATAAGGTTATGAAACTGATGAAAATGTTTTCATCAGTACACTGACAACAATTCTGCTGAACTATGTTTTYATGAACTTAGTTTCATGTATCCATGACACCTTTAAAATAAGGTTATGAAACTGATGAAAAATGGTTTCATCAGTACACTGACAACAATTCTGTTGAACTATGTTTTTATGAACTTAGTTTCATGTATCCATCTC